ACAACAGATCACCCTCGTCTTCTTCCACATCTCTTAACGCCTCCCAATCTGAGTCATCTTCAGAGTCTCCTTGCGAGACCCTATTGTAGCGAGGGTTTGGCTTCTCAGGCGTCGTGGAGTTTTCTTCAGTCGCCGGCATCCAATGCAGCTTCAACCCAGTCGCCGATGTCTTTCCCGCAGCCGGAGGAAGAGGAGGGGAGAGTTTTCTGATCGTCGTTCCTGTTTGGGGACGATTCGAGCGAATAGGCACACTTTGGGACGATGATAGACCACAATCATCGTCCACCATCAACGCAAGGGAGCTTTGTGCATGACTTTTAAAAGGGTCACGTGACCCAACTTGAAAGACCTGGCCCAGATTAGACTTTCGGATCGGGACCTGGGTCCGACTTTTCAATTGATTTTGTAAATTGAGCGCAAGGTGGCCCTTTTTTTGATTGCAGCACCTCAGCATAGGATTTCTTTTGGGCCGTTGGATCCCATTCGCATTTTTTTCAAAAAATCTCCCTTAAATGGCCAAGCAATCTCCTTTAATCTATTGCCCAACTTTTCAATTTCCATAAAAGCCTGGTCAACTTGACCTTTTGGACGGTCCACCCAGCTCTCGCCACATGGCCTCCAACAGTCCACGTCATCATCTTCTTCTACCTCCAAACTGTTCCACAGCCTTGCTTCGACTTCCGACACCAACCACACCTTTCTCCAACAGTCATCTGCGAAGATGTCCAGGCTTCTTGGGATTCTTTCCAATCTTCCACATGTAACTTTAATCTTTGCCGCTTGAAGGTTTTGCATGCAAAAACCTTCCAAGACCCCACCACAGGCCACTGCTATCTTATGGAATATGTGCTCCTGCCAGAGGTTGAAGGGTAAACCCAGAATCTTGATAACTATGGTCTTCTGCGAGATATTCAGTTCGTTACAGGAGGGCGACCAATTTTCCACTGCAATCTGKCCAAGATTGGTTTCAAGGATTCTGCTCACAGTCTGAAGTTCGGCCATGTCAAGTATTGCCTTATTCTTTTCAAATGGGATGAGGGTGATTTTCTCTTTTGGCTGAAGCGTCTCCAGTAGAATTTGCAATACTTCTTCCCAATCCTTAACCTCTGTTTTCACTTTCGCAACTTTCCTCTTAAACCAGTCCCCATTCCTTCGTACTGTTATAGGAGTAATCCTTTTAGTTTGCTTTTGCTGGTTTGCTTTCCCAGTTTGGCTCTCACTCACCTCCCCAGATTTTTGTTCTTTCCTCATAGTTTGCTCTTCAGTATTCGAGAACTCCCATTTTTTCTGGTCGAAATCATCAAGTGCACCTGCAACCATCTTCCACCCCTGTTTAGCTTGTCCCTCTGGAAGGCATACTAGTTGTTTTCTCCCTTTGCCAAAGAACTCTGTTAGTAAAATAAATCCTTCATTTCTGTTCCTTCTATTTTCTACTGTGAATCTCTTCCCATTGTTTTTCGTTTCATTTCCCCACCCTTGTATTCTTTCTGCAAATAGAAGGCCATCTACGAAGCCTTTAAGCCAGTCCACTACTTCTGATTCCATTATGATAGTTGCTCGTCGATCTTCCCTGATTTTCAATAGCTTCTTCCCTCTGCTTGTAATTTCCTCCATAAGGACCTTCTTCTTCTCCAACTGAGGTATTCTTCTCCATTTTGTTGCCTGAACGAAACTCTCCATTTCGGCTTTCTTCTTTCTCTGCTCTCTAAAAACTTCTTCAATCCATTCGTTGACAGATGTAATCAGATCAAACTCTAAACACTATTGTTACAACCTACAATGTAGTAGAGTACATATTCAACATGAAATCCAACGTCAATTCATCAAAACATAGAACCAAATTAAATGAGGTGCACCCCATAAAATGAGCCTTGCCTATGAACCTAAGCATGCTTCAGGCAGACCTTTTAAAACACTTCAGCCAGTACAAGTGATTTTGTCCTAGATGACTGCTATGGTGTCTATGGTGTTCCCATCATGCAGAATAAGTGAATCAGGGGAAGAACTCTTGGTGAAGAAAAAACAGAATTGCTGCAAGAGCCAAAGACTAGAAATGTTTCAAGTGCACCTTTTTTTTGCAGATTATGGCAGGCATTTGCAAGTTTTTCTCATTCTGCTGAACCTATATATATATATATATATATATTGATTGATTGGATCTTAGTGCTACCACTTGGTTCCACAAAAACATCATACATTTTTTGATAGTTAACATTACACTCTGTTATGTCTTTAAAAAAGGAAATACAAACAATATGTAAATGCAATATATGGCAATAAAATAAGGGAAAGTTGATTTGTGCATATAAAACAAATACCAACTGATGCCCCAATAAGAGAGCTAAACCATTAACTTAATGATGTATGTTGTAGGTCCTAAAAAAACAACAAAATGTGGGAGGGCCAAATAATAACTTTTACAGTGCAAAAAAAGACTTGTTAGTACATTCTTTAACAGAAGACTTGATCTTCGAGCAGAATGAAGGAACATTCAGGTTAAGAGCCAATAACAAGCTCTTTTATTTTCTCACTCCATGCTCTATCTGTCCATTTTAGATGCTAAATTTGAATGGAACAATAACTAGGACCCAACATTGATCAAACTTTTAAATTTCTCGTTTCTGCTTGGCAAGAGAATTTCCCTTACGTCGTGCAAAAGCTCTACCAAGGAATATGTCTGATCACAGTCCCCTGCTATTGAATTGTGGAGAAATCTTGTATAAAGCCTACCTCATTCAGAGAGATTGATTTACTGGCTAAGAGTTTTAACTCTAACTCTACATTTGGGTGGACTAGAAGGACAGCAAATGGACTGGCAAACACTCTAGCAAAACAAGGAGCTGATAGGCCTTCTCTTTTTTGGTTAAACTATAGCTGGATGTGTTAAAACAGAGGGTTGTTCTTCCTTGTATTCTGGGACCTTTCTATATTGCTATACTCTGGAAGGCTCTTGTAAGCTGTTTTAAATTAATAAGATTTTCTCTTTTGCTGATCAAAAAAAAAAAAAAATCCTACCTCATTCATATTTGATAGATAGTGGTTAGAATAGGAAGGGCCATTAGAATTGATTCAAGAATGATGGAGATTCTTCCTTGATGAAGGCTCTACAAGCTACCTTTTGCGGTGAAACTCCAATACCTAAGATTGAAGCTAAAGGAGTGTTTAGAGCTGTGGACATCAGAAGAGAAGAGTTAATTCAAAATTATAGCTCTCATTGAGTTCGTCAAAAGCTATCCATCTACAGAAGAGAGACAAGGTAGAGTTACAGTCAAACAAGACTTTGACAGGGACCCCTGGAGGTAGATATCAAGAGGAGATAAAGTGGAAACAATTGACTAGTATAAAGAAGATAATAGAACAAAATTCTTCTATAAGATAACAAGAATGACAAACTGGAAAAAAAGAAAAAAAAACACATCAAAATGTCAGTGGTAAATAGGAAGATGGAGAATGAGGCAGGAAGAAAGAAGGCAGTCATATCCTACTATAAATCTCTCTATCATGAGTCATGGAAACCAAGGTCATGACCGGATGGATTGGACTTCCAAAGAATCCCTAATCAGAATAAAAGAAGATTTGGAAAAAGAGATATTAGAAAAAGAAATTAAGAAATTTGGTCTCCACTGCCTCAGTCCAGGGTGAAATTAAACTTTCCTGGAAGCTCCTTAGAGAATCCAGGCCTGTCAGGAGTTAGGGGTGTTATCAGAAATGAGGAAGAGTTTTGGCCCTTTACTTGGGCCTGGTTGGGGTGGGAGACTCCTTAAGGGCAGAAGTCTTGGCTTTATTCCTAGAACGGAGATTGGCAAAACAATGGGAAATGCAGCACTTAGAAGTGGAAGGAGACTCCAAACTGGTAATAGGGCGGATGCAATCTAGAAACCTGGGAGATTGGCATCTTAGAGAGCCTCTAAGAGAGATTGTAAACTTAGCAAGGGAGCTTGGGATGCATTTAAGTAGGTAAGAAGGTCAGCAAATGGAATGGCTGATGCTTTAGCTAAGCAAGGAGTACATAGGGAGGCTTTGTTTTGGGCTTGTTTGTAAGGATTTTATTTAGGGTTTCTCCACCCATCCTATGGGTGGTTTCATTTGTAATCTTTATTTAAATTCATCAATGAAAGTTACCGTTTCCTATCCAAAAAAGGAAATTAAGAAAGCTTCAAAGGAATTGGAGGATACAGTCCTAGGACCATTTCACCATGACATTCTACAAAAGGTGCTGAGGTACAACTAAAGATGAAATATTTAAAGTTTTTAGGAGCTCCCAAAAATAGGTCATTCAAAAGAAGCCTAAATGCTAAACGCATAGTTCCTATTTCCAAAAAGGGGAGCCTTACAACTTACAGTTACAGGCTTCAAACCATCACTCTTATTGGGAAAATTTATTGCTTAGGTCTATTGTTACCCCTCTCAAGGGACCCTAATGGATGGAACATAGATATTGGAAGTGGTGCTAATAGTAAATGAGACCATTGATTCAAGAAGCAAATATTAGTGAACTGGGTGATATGTAAAGTGGACATGGAAAAAGGCAAAAAGCCTTTCTATAAATGGTGGATTTGTTAACTGGAGCTTCCCAGCATACATATTCTATACCTTCATTCCTCATAGCATGATATTTTAGAACAGGCCATTTTCTTACAAGGTTCTCTTAAGAAGAGTTACAGGGGGTAATTCATTCTTGGCTGTCTATCAGAAAGGAATTCAACAAAGTATCTCATAACTCAATTGTCAGTTTTAGTTACATTGTATAGATATAGGGCTCATTGTAGTTATATGGATACACAGCTTGGTATCTAATCATACATCTCTTTTTTTTTGAGTAAATTAATCATACATCTCTTTGATGTACATGATCTGAACTGTATGCCAAGACCTTTGCATATACATACTTTACCAATCAAAAAATCCATGCTTTACATTCTTCAAGAACACCTTTCTAACATCACTTTATGGTCGACATTCATGCTTCTTGCTAATCAGAAGTTTAATTATTGCCTTGTAGAGTTCATAATTTCTTCTGTTTTTTCAGGTTTTTGTTCTTTCATTTTTGTGTACCAACCATGTACTAAATCCCTTTTGAAGAAATTCACAAACCACTAAGAGACAAATTCTATCACACCATTACACTCCCACCAACAGTTTGTGGACCCATTCTTTGCTACCACCACCTTTATCTATATGCTAAGGACCGGCCCAAACAAATGCAACCACTAGCAACAAAGAGCAGACATTACCAACTCTCAAGGACCCACTACCAAAGTTTCCTGCTTCCTTAAGAATTAAGATAGCACATTTTAGCCCACTTGTTTTCAGTGTCACATCTACAATAAAGGATAAGGTTAATATTTAGGGGCATTTTCTTTTTCTATTTACTGAAATCCATGTTTGATTAAAACTGCCCATTTATAACACCATTCACAGAAGCGGAAAGCTTCAGTGAATCATGAATATCATGTGACAACTAGACTAAGTTTTGATCCAATTAATACCAAGATAACTTCATTGTCTCAACTCTCAAACAACAATTTTAAAAACTTTCTTCGGTAACAGAATAGGGTGGCAATAATTTGAATGATAAGATGTTGAAACATTAATAAATTGTCATACTTTCTAAGGTGGAAAAAAAAGAGGCTACAATAAGCTAAGCTCCAAGTTGTGGATGGGTACATGTTTCTTACATTTTCTACAAGATGGTACAATTGACTCCCAGCACCAAAAAATTTAAAAAAAAAAATAAAAAAAGGGAAAAAGAAATCACTTGATGGCTGAATTTTTTGGCTCAATGTCCGAAACTGTGTTTTTTAATGATGGCTTTAACAGTAAGAAATCTCCATCCCTCCCTTCTCTTCTTCTCGTCTTCTTCTCCTCTTCTCTTCTCTTATCCATTTCGGGAGGGTGAGCTCCTTCGAACCAGCTCATTGCATTATCATTTAGCATGTGGGATCAGATACCTATCAATTGGTATCAGAGCCGAACTTTCAAATGCCGAGCACGAAATCCATGGCAGCAGAAAAACAGATTGACTGGATCGAAGGGGAGGTTTGTCAGACCACCAGTGAGCTGTGAGACATCAAAGAAACACTGTCTGCATTGGTCAATCATTTGAACGAATGTCTACAACATCCAAGGAGGCAAAACCATAAGGATTGAGTAGCAGCAGCGAACCAAGGGGAGGAGTTCTTCCAGTCAAGGCAACCAAAATCGACTTTCCACTTTACTCAGGTGATGACCTCGTACCTTGGATCTATCGAGCCAAACAGTATTTTGAGTTCCATGAGACCCCGGATAACCAACGGGTGCCTGTTGCCTCCATCCACATGAACGGAGAGGCCATCATGTGGTACCTATGGTACTGAAAGACCCATCCCCAAACCAACTGGCTAGATTTCGCGGAGGCTCTATGTGTGAGATTTGGCCCTTCAGGGTATGAAAATTTTAGTGAATCCCTCTCAAGAGTGAGGAAAACCGAGATAGTGAGGGAACACCAAAAGGAGTTTGAGCGAATGGCTACCCGTGTTCATGGTTGGCCAAAGTCAACTCTTGTTGGGTATTTTATCGGCGGGCTAAGGGATGACATAAGAATTGGAGTGAGGGCCATGCAGCCATCAACACTTGTAGCTACAGTCAACCTAGGAAAACATCAGGAAGAAAGGTTGAACAGATACAGAGGCTCGGCCAGCCCATAGGACCCAGACCGGACCAATACTGAAAACCCCTCCTACCAAACCCAACCAGCACCTTGGACCACTTCTTCCTACGCCCACTACCCCTCCG